CAGCCCCTGCTCATAAGTCATTGGCTCCCGACCCCTCATCATTGTCGTTGCGCTCCGCTGGGCTCTTTCCAATTTTCCACATCCTTCTTGTAGTGTGGGGCCCAAAACTGGACACAGTATTCCAGATGAGGCCTCACCAATGTCGAATAAAGGGGAACGATCACGTTCCTCGATCTGCTGGCAATGCCCCTACTTATACAGCCCAAAATGCCGTTAGCTTTCTTGGCAACAAGAGCACACTGTTGACTCATATCCAGCTTCTCGTCCACTGTGACCCCTAGGTCCTTTTCTGCAGAACTGCTACCTAGCCATTCGGTCCCTAGTCTGTAGCAGTGCATGGGATTCTTCCGTCCTAAGTGCAGGACTCTGCACTTGTTCTTGTTGAACCTCATCAGGTTTTTTTCTGCCCAATCCTCTAATTTGTCTAGAAAGGTAAAGAAAGGTTGACTTGTCCAACTGGACCTTCTTTATTGGCTTATGCTGTAAATCCTACAGTTATCGTGGGAATTGCATCCAGCTTCAAATTTTCTGGAGTTCATAAATAATAGGATCAGATGTTTTCTTTAGAGTCTAAAATGATTATAGTCTCTTGCATTTAGCAAGCTTGTATTTAGACACCACCATCAGTGTTCTTATAGGAGAAACTGGCCCAAATTAAAGAAAAAAGAAAGAATACAACTAAGACTATTTCAGCACGAAAGGGCTAACATAATACAATACTTGTAGCCGCAGTGTGGCATTTATCATTGTTTTACACTAAATGGCACCACAGAGAAGAGAAGAGCATTGGTCAAAAATAAATAAATAAAGGGTAAGATGATTGACACTCTGAGGGCAGAGCACAGATACTCTTGCCCAAACCAAATACTCTCAATATTTCTGTGTTTCTAAAATTCATGCATTTAAAGGCCAGAAGGAACAATTGGTATCATCTAGTCTTATCTCCTGCACAATGCAGGCCACAGAACCTTACCTATAATTTTTTCATAAAGCCCATAACTTTTGCTTAAGCTATAGCATATTTTTCAGAAATATATCCAGTCTTAATTTAAAGACTTCCAGTGATGGAGAATCCACCACATTCCTAGGAAAGTTGTTCCAATGGTTAATTACCCAAATTGTGAAAAACATGCACCTTATTTCTACTCTGACTTTGTCTAAACTTAGTTCCCAACCCCAAAGGTACTGGTTATATTTTTGTCTGCTAGATTAAAGAACCACCTACTATCAGAAATCTCTTCCTCATGTATGTACTTGTAGACCATGATCAAGTCACCTCAAACTCATAACATGTTCTAGTGCTGTCTTGATTTACAAATTTAGTTCAAAGTGTTTGCATCAAGGATGCCCAAAGCATAGCTGGAGGGTCAATGGTGGCCACTGAGTCCTAAAATCTTGCTTGTGGCTGTCCTCTCTCTAACTACAGGAGGACAACAAAGGTGATCAGCTGCAGGTTTTTTTAGAGGGTGAATTGAAAAAAGCAACAATTTCTATTCATCTACCTCAGAAAATATAAGTACAAGAAACATTACGGATGTGTACATTATTTTGATCTAAAAAGGCCCACAAATTTATTTGTTGGTGGCAAGTGATGAATGAATTTGGGTACCCCTGGGTTATGCACACTAATGGCCCAGTTGCCAACATGTACAGCTGCCAGAACCTCGGGGTAAGTTACTGGAACACTTTCCAAGAATACATTTGGTAATTTTATAAATCAGATCTATCTGCATAAATCATCCCTCATTCTCAAATTGCAGTCAAGATTTTGTGTTTTCAAAAGCGTGATGGCCACATCAAAAATACATAGTCATTAAATAAAAATAGCCAAAGCTGTTAAATTGTTTCCTGTAAAAAGAAAAAAAAGGCAAACAGCTACTCACTGTGAACAAGGAAGCAAAAATCTTTCCACATCAGCAACAGTGTGAGCTTTGTGAAGCCCTCTGCATCATATTCCACCACACCACTATAAAAACAGAAATATAAAACAAGAACACATTTTTACACAATATTCCTTACAATAATAAATGATAAGCAAATAAATATTGGGTTAAAGCAAAGGAAAATACCCAAGATTTTACTTTATTTACTATCTGCTATTATGTTCTATCCAAATGCAGGCTGCATGTGGCTTCTCTCAAATGGAATAATGGAGCTTCCATCTGAGGAATGGTTATCAGTGTAAACAAGATACTTTTTAAAATGCAATCAGCTCTGCTAATGGCACTTGCAATTGAAATTCAGTAATAATTGAACGTATCTACCAAAAACTGCATGTATGTTACTCAGATGGAGATCATTAATACACTATGACATTGAAGTTATATATAAAAAGCAGAGACCTTACTGAAAATCTAGGGACCCATGTCATAACATTTACTTCCAATAATCCAGGTGGAGTCTAAATCTGACAATTTATACATCTAAAATATACAAATATACATTCAAAATCCACAAATTGTATTTTAAATTTAAAGAAAAGCTTTCACAAGGACTATTTTTACTTACGTAGAGAAAAAAAATCCATATGACAGCTGAATTAATATCTTCAGCCTTGATTCCTGATTATCTTATATCGTTAAACACTCAGGCTTGTCAAATTACTGTGGTGCTGTTTGTTGTTGTTGTTGTTGTTATTTTTGCTGCTGTTTTTTTAATTTAGTTTTTGTATATTGTAAAATTTATCATATTGTCAAATACACAAGGAGCTAAATTCTGATTAAGTTGCTCATGCAATTCCCCCCACCCCCGAAATGGATTAAGACTATGATAGCATCAGAGTATGTAAACTGCAATGTTTCAGTATACTAATTTGTTACATACCATGTGCTTTTTTCATACTTATATCATCAACTTTATCTTATTGACCCTGGGATCAGATGGTGTCTACCGTCATGTTTAAATCACAGCAGGATATTAGCACAGTTTACTTGGTCATTATGGAGATGAATTCTTTTTGTCTTGAGAACTGTGTTATAAATCCATTGTACAGATGGCGGGTTTTCTGTAGCACAGATTTGGATTGAATAATTCTCAGAAAAGAAATCATGTTTTTAATCAGACCAGTTCTCCAATGTCTGTACTAACTTCTGATTTGCACCATTGATATCTATCTATAAAGACTTATATGGTTTGGATCCATAAGAGATTACCTCTCTCCTTAGGTGTCACTGTGCCACCTGAGAGCATCAGGGGTGCTCCTCCTTACAGTCTCTCTATAACCATCCATCCATTCATTTTTTGATGTGCCTATTGCCATAATATTTCTGTAGTCATGCTGTACAGAAATAAGGAAACTTCACTTTCTTCACAAAGGGATGAAAACTACTATCTCCTCCTCATTTTAGGTTACTTCCTAAGTTGAATCAATGTGGTGGCTGGCTTCCAGGAGGAATAATTCTGGATTGCTTGCTACAATCACTACTATGAGAAGGCCTATGTGCATCATTTTCTGAAGATGGCTAGATGTGGACTCATCCAGTGGAAGTTAATTATATAGCCAAAGGTCATGTAATGAGCAAGCTCTCCTGCCCTACAGCAAGTTTTACCTCTAGCTTCAAGTCATCCTGTTGATTGTAGCTGCTATAGTAGGATTATATATAATGTTTCAGCAGAACCTTATAATGAGAGGTAGAATGTCATTGCCTCAACTAACAACCAAGACATCTAACCGTGAATCAGAAAGGTAAAATAATGTTGCTTTTGCTGCTGTTACATGAGAAGATGCATTAAAAGAAGACTTACGTTCCAAAGTGACTCAGGAAAGCGGCAATATACTCCCTTCTCTTATGGTATCCCTGAATAACATATTGTACCTGGAGGGAAAAAAAAGCCAACCCAAAGCTATGAAGACATTTTACACAAAGAAAAGGCTCCCAACTTTTCATATTGTTCTAGTTTTACTGGAGAAATCTATTTACAGAATATCAATAATGTTGCATCCTACTTTTAGATGCCATGTTTCATCCTAAAGGATCCTAAAATGCCTTTCAAACAAACGGTACACATGGCTCTCTTCATTCACCTGTAGGTGAATCAGCATCTGGTAGCACTATTGTGCAACAAGAAGTGAAGAAGAATATCATATCCAATTGAAGCAATAGAAAGAACCTGAGATAGGCAATATGTAATTGGCTGAGCTAGCATTTGGCCAGGATGCTAGAGAAACATCCTGTTAAGAAAATTGCTCAGGACCATAATTGTGTGTGTCATCTGAAAAACAGCATATCTAGCAGCCGAGAACTTCCTAACGGTAAGCTGTATTATTGGCTTCAGGCTGACTCAGACAGAAGAGAGCCACCTACTGAATCACCAACACCAAATTCTGAAGAATCCTGAGTTTCCCTTGAAAGTTTTCCATCCCAGCACTGATCCAGACCACTACACTTAGGTTGGAAGATCTGAGCCCACTGAAGAGTCCTTGCTTTACATGAATAGTCCTCCTGTTGACTTGAATGGATTACTTGCAAGATAAGCAAGGTTTGACTCATGATGAAACCAACACCAAAGATGCTAGGCTGAAAGAGTGTCTAGTTCCCAACTCATTATGTTATATCTATAGGATACTTCCATTCATAGTCACTTATACAAATCCTACTTTGCTTTTCATAATGGAAACTAACTCTTATAGAGCCTCTTAATGCGGAGTGAAAGAAGTGGGGAGGGGGGGGAAATATATACTTTATTTGTGTTGGCTATGGTAACATTGGATTTCCTTGGTTGGCAAATGCTTGTGTTAAGTTATTGAAATAACCTTGATACAATCAGTGCTCAGAGCTATGTTATATCCTCTCAAAGTAAAATAATTCTATTTATAAAATAGGACTTATTTCAGTTTATAAAAAAGTGCTTAGTTTGAAGGCTTTGTGTGGGATCTGAAACATTATTTTGGAAAAAGGAAAACAGATGATAAGTTTGCTTAAGTACCTTTGTTTAAAAAAAGGATAAAAACAGTCCTGTGTACTCGTAGGTTTTAAAAACAGAAAGTAGTTTTAACAGAAAACCACAACAAAACAGCCCTAAAGATAGATTTCTGTATAATTATGGAAATGCATTTTGAAGGAGCCTTTTCTAAAAGACATCATTTAATTTCCTCATTTAAACAAGAAAAACAAAAAATATGAAATAAAAAAGACAAATAGGGAATCTACAATAACCAGATTGCTGAATGCCTGGCCCTAAATTACTGTTCTAACTTAAAAACTACATTTAAATCATCTGAGAAACTTTACAAAATACTATACCTAATGAATAAACTTTCTCTTTCGCTTAGGGTTGGTCCACACTAACCCCCCAGTTCGAACTAAGATACGCAACTTCAGCTACGTGAATAATGTTGCTGAAGTCGAAGTATCTTAGTTCGAACTACAAGGTACTTACGGCGGGTCCACATGCGGCAGGCAGGCTCCCGTCGACTCCGCGTACTCCTCTCGCAGAGCAGGAGTACCGGTGTCGACGGCGAGCACTTCCAGGATCGATTTATCACGTCTAGACAAGCTGCGATAAATCGATACCAGAAGATCAATTGCTTACCGCCGAACCCGGAGGTAAGTATAGACGTACCCTTAGACTCTAAGCCAAACAGAATATAGCTTTCTATTAATGGAAAAGGTAAGTGGCTATTACTTTACTATATCAACATTCATCAGAGAAGATGAATCAGTCCATTTGGATGAATTAGCAGAGATAATATCACTGTAATAGGACCTTTTGTTGAGTGCTCACAATCGACAGTAATCTAGGGATAGTTAGATGTCTTTCCACTGAAAGAAAGTCATTGGCTATATATTGCTATTTATCTAGCAACAGACCAATAATATGTTGGGGTGATATTTTTATCCTAATGTACCTTAAAACAATAAGAAAACTCCTTTAAAATCCAAGAAATGCTGTATACCTACAACTCCCACTGACTTTAATGGGACATGAAAGTGTTCAATCTCTCACAAGATCAGGTATAAGACAGTGTTACTGGAATAGTTTAACTTACTTGAGTTTGCTTTACTTAAATCATTGGTTGAATAAGTAGAATCCGTTGTTTCCACAGTGGTTTCATAAAATTGCTTGTAAAGTACAGTATAACACAAGAAGGAAGGAGAAATTAAGTTCTGTGTATTAACTCACCTTGTTAGTTAGCAGCTGGCACACCTGCGGTACATAGTCAATGAGACAGCCTCCACCTGGAAAGGCTGGGATGTGAAGGGCAGAGGAGCCTCCAAGAGCACTAAAAATAAAATATTTTTATTTCACAATATATCAGATGCTGCTCCTATGGGACATGTTAGTGATTCTTACCTTTCCCAATGTAAAAAGCCCAGCACCACACTAAGAAAAGATTACAAACTGATTTATATTAGCCCTGGACTATGTAATAAACATTAGAGATACAAACTGTAACTTTACCATATACTACCGCTGATGCCTTATTGACAGCAGACATCTTTAACCAGGAGTATCAAACCCCTCCAACTGGAAGAGTTAAGTGATCATACTAGGAGTGGCAGACATACCAAGCATCCTCTCAAAGAATAGTTTTAATTTTATTTATTTAATGCTTTGTATTATTTTTATCATCATTGTATCTAGGTTCATAGCAGCTTAAATGCAACCAGACATTGCATCTAAATGTATACAACACACAGTATAAACAGCCTTCCATGTAACACCCAAGCATCCATAAATAACTCACTTATGTCCACAGTGATTAAAAAAGAGTAGTTCCTCAACACCCTCGAGAGCCACTAAATAACATATCCATTAACCCCTACCAAATCCTGTAAGTGTGAGATCAACACCTCATGGTCAAGCATATCAAAGGCATATCCAATAAAATCAACATGAACATCTGACTGGAGCTGGTTGCACTGTTTTAAAATTACATTATGTTCCCTCCCCTTTTCTTGACTAGCTCTATACCTGAACTTTGTCCATCACTAGAAAAAGATCATCTGAATAAAGATACTAATTCTATCCCTGTACCACACACAGACCAGAAACCAGAATGAGAGAGACCAAGGACAGTGAAAGGAACCCAAAGCTGCATTGGCACCTTTTCAATAGCCTTTCCCATAAAATGAAGATTTGAGGGAGGGCTGTAATTGTCAAGGCCAGAAACTTCATCTGATGGCTTCCTCTGCAAGCAAGGCCATAACCACTTTTTCTTAAAAGTTGATTGTACACCCAGATAAAGGCAATACCAGTTTTTTCAACAACAGACCTAAATCCTTCCCATTGTCTTTTACCAATCATAAGGGACATGAACCTATCTTACAGGTCATGGCTTGTATCTCTCTTTGAACATACAGTACTTCTCTATAAATGAAACTAAGCTATACTCCAAAAGTTAAGATGTTACTTTGTCTCATACTGTTTATGCATTGCTCCCACAAAAACATTAGGATCCAATAGATCTTCTCTGCAAAGCAAGGTCCTTATCCTACAAAGGGATCTTCTGGCAAGGATTCTTATGCCTTGACAGACTCTTTCTTTGTCTAGGTATAAGGGTCTATACTGGCAAAACCCTTTGAATGTTAGAAGCCTAACTCAAAAATTTATCATAATGAGATGCACTGAAATCTGTTACTGAAACCGTCTGGAGTCAGCAGACTGTTCACCACATGGAATAGTTCTGTAGGTCTGGACTTTGCAGATGCAAGACTGAATAAGAAAAAGAAAATACTTCAGTGTATATCCCAGCCACACAGGAACAAAACTCTTTATGCTGTCATTAGTCAAATATAGAGCTGTTTTTTGTCACCAACTTTAGTCTCCTTCTTGGTTGCTTTGTTTGTTGCAGGCCATCTACTTACCAAGGTGATGTGTTGAGAGGTATGGGAATGCTATTTGGCCATTTAAGGATGGTCAGAGACAAGTGGATCATAATGTATTAGCCGGTCATCAAAAGTGTGGTCCGATAGCCAAAAGAACGGTTACTTACCTTCTGTAACTGTTGTTCTTCGAGATGTGTTGTTCACGTCCATTACACATTAGGTGTGCGCGCGCCGCGTGCACGGACGTCGGAAACTTTTCCCC